AGTAACATAAAAACCTGAAAGCACAGTAGGCCTGATTCCAATCTCACTTTTCCTGTAAATTAGGAATAACTCCACTGAAGTGAATGGAGTTCCACTGTGTAAACTCAGAATAAATATGAGCAGACACACTGACTTTACAATGGCATCCCTCTACAACACAAGTCCAGCCACGTTAAGAAAATATCTAAAAATGACCAAGTATGGTTGTTCCATGGGTGTCTTTGTTGAAAGACTAGTCATTTAGGGACAAATTCTGCAACCGGAGGTGCAAAACAGATATAAAAGGAGTATATAGAAGATGCTATTCTGCTGTGTTGGTGTAATCCCTGGTGAAATGGCAGGACAAACTGCAATACAGTCTGAGTGAGGGACCAGATTTACTGCACCAATGTGGCTAGCAAATCCCCAAAGGAAAACCACTCTGGGACAGAATACATGTTATAGTTTAGTTAGGCCAGTCACAGGAACCTAGACTCAGAAGGAAATTCACACCCCTTGCTGTTTCTTTCTAGATCCAAAATATCTGCTGTGCTTTGATGGCATTTCTTATTAGCAACTCAGGAGCTCCTGCCAGGTAACCAGTGGAGAGTTAGTCATGACACACTACAGCAGCTGTATATAGCAATACAAAGGAACCCTATTACTCATGGCAATATAGCTCTGGTATTACTATAGCCACTCCGGTTCATGGGCTATTCCTTCCCTGTGAATGTCCATTGGCTGGTGGCACAACTTTAAGCCTGGCAATGCATTTTGTTCCAAATGGTGACTTCTGTGACACTGGAAGCTTTGTTTGCTGCCATGAGCACTGGGGAAGAAAGTATTGTCCTACTGGTGGATTTTATAGTGAGCACAGGGGCTATTTTAGTGACATGATCCTACTAGTCACTTTTAGCTATGTGACTTTTCTTAAATGTATTAATCCCACACAGGCACATGCGCGCACACACATATCAAAACAGCCTAGTACTTCCTTTTTTCAAATAGGAAAAGGTTGAAAAGGTTTGAAAAGGTTTCCACAATCTTACATGTCAAACCAACTAAACAAGGAGCAGTTTCCAATTTCAACTGCCTGCCCCCCCGAATCCTACTTGTGCTGTTTCTGAGTAAAATATTTCAAAATAAAGGAAACCAAATTAAATGCATGAACATGTGTAAATATAAATCCCTTGACTTGCATCGGAAGAACAAGAAGGCAGCAAAAAGTGATAAAAGCATCACAGTTCACATCTGTATTGAGAAACCGATGAGAAGTCAGCAATTTTGAGTTAATCAGAGGAATGTTCATCAGTATGTTCAGTGTCTGAAACTGTCAGCAAAGTTTCTAAGGGTGCAGCTTCTCATGCTGAAATGCAGGGATGATTACTGTACCAACAGGAGACAAGAGCAAATCCAGACCAGAACAACCCCCACATAGTTTCTGCCTCTGGGAATGCCTGGCTTTAAAGTACTAGAATAATAACGGATAATATCAGGCTATGTTTCCAAGATTAAAGTAATAGAGGATGAATTTTAAAAACGCAGTAACAGAAGTCACATTCTTGAGTAATCAGGAATTTATCTAACTGGCCTGCTGAGTTTAACGCTGTGTATGACCAATGAAAATACAACATAAAAGACCCTGTATTCATTCTGGGTGAAATTCACCCAGTGCGGAGGACTGGTACAAGTTGATTATTCAACTTTCTAGATATTTAAAGAGGTATCTGAAAAAATATTTTTATTTTTTGGGATTTCGCCTTTATCATAATAGTACTTCAATTTTTCCAGTGAGTTCAAACCCTGGTTATTTTGCTTTTTTTAATCAACGAGGAAGGATGACCTTGTGTAAAAGCAAAGGAATAGAAGTCAACAGGAAATCAAAACAAGAAGGACATGTAAAATGGAGATAATACTTCCATGTCACTGGGTGTTATGAGGCTAAATTAATTGATAGCTGCAAAGTGCTTGAATCCCCAGGTGGAAAGTGCTGCTAGTACAAAATCACCCTCCTCCGCAACACACACACACACACTTTGTGATGTTTAAAATGGGTCTTTTCTGTTGGCAAATGGGTGGGAATTGGATAAGGAATTGATCTGTACAGTAATTTAGGACTATTTCAGCATTACTTACTAGTACTAAATACAGTTATATCCTCATTTGCCATACAGCCTTATATTAATCCAAAGTTAAAATTTTATAATGCTGGACAGTTCAAAAGACAGTGGAATGTGTATGCACATCTTTATAGGAATACTGTATCTGACAGCATTAGATCTGTGAATGAGATTTTAGGGTACAGTGTGTATTACATTACTATAGGTATGAATAGGTCAGAGTTGTTCCTTCAGAGTTGTTCCTCTTACACAACACTTTATTTGATTATGCTGCAACCTGCTGCAGTTAATTCAATAATATAAGATATATAAATTCATCTCACAATAATGTAGGTCATTAGGGTTTGTTAAATAAAGATTTGAGAAGCAGGGTGAAAGCAGCAGCCATCTGTAAACAATGTGAATGTATTTCAGTATAAACTTTTTTTGGAGACAAAAAAAAAGGCTAAAGTAAAATTTGTACCCAGTATTTCAAGTCTTATTCATGAGAGTATGGCCATGTCTACACTACACATTTCTGCTGACATAGCTATATTTGTCAAGGGTATGAAGAGGTGTGATCCTTGACCAACAAAGCTCTGTTGGCAAAAACTGTTAGTTTAGACGCAGTTTTAACAGCAAAACTAAGCTTTTGTCAGTACAGTTTACTTTGCTGGCAGTAGAGGCTGGAATAAGCTATACGAGTAAAAGCACAGTTTTGCCAGCTGCATGCATATGAGACACATTTTGTTGGTATAGCATATTGGTATAGTTATACAGGCAAAGTACTCCTAGTGTAGAGAGCCTCTGATGGATATTGTATCCCTATGCAGTACCTTTGGGGACCATTATTGAATTTATGAATGGTTTACAATTGTGTTCTACTCCATGAGGGAGGGTTACTACAGCTCCTCCAGGAATTAAAACCAATGGGGAGAGATTACCTCTGGGACTAAAAGTACCACCCTCTGAGTTGGTTTGCATATACTGGTTCAAACTGGGTTTTGCAAAGATCAAGACACAAAGAAAGGGCTTTGGGTATAAGAGGCTGAGTTTAAACAGAATCAGGGGCTTCTTTTTGATTCAGCAAACAGGAAGGGCCTTATGCCCAAGTATGCCTCAACACTTGCTGAAGGGGATGTTGACCTACCAGACTCCCCAGGTAGAAGAGGAAGTGATTTCTGGTATGTTTAGTAAGCTCGTAAATCCATTTAATGTCTTTTGTATTTTTTCTGTATGCTTTTTTTATTCTGAATAAATGTACTCTGCTAAGAAAGAGATGAGTGGTAACTTATAAACTGCCAGCAATACGCTGGTCCTAGCCCTGGGAGAGAAAGCAAAGCACAGGCGCTCGCCTTTAGGTAGACTGGATGCCTGGGACATTGCTGTGTATGGCAGGGGACTATGGAGCCTCAAACTCCCATTCAGAAGGGAGTGGGTCCCGAGACAAGTGATGGGCACTCCTGGAGTGGACAAAGGATGGAGGAATACCAGTGCAGTTACCCTGAAACTGACAGACTCTATTAGTAGGATTATTCACACTAACAACTAACTACTACTCAACAAGAGGAAAGGTTACAGAATTAGGAGCATTGCCGGTAGCACAGGTGAAGCTGAAATTGTGCAGGTGAAGTGGTATAGGCTCAGCCTTCTCAGGAAACTATGCTTTACAGTTGTGGTGTGCCAATAGCAGAGAACAAATTTCATGTATCTTTGTTTAATATCTATTACAGTTATTCTAAGAGAAGGCCAAAGTGTTAAACACACTCGTTTAAGTGTTATAAAGATTTTGCATGGAAAACCGTTTCAAAGCCCCATCTGCCCTAGGTAATGGACCTATTACCATTACTGGTGTCAGTGTATGGATTCTATTTGTGTTAGTAATTTTGTATGAAGTTAGTGTACAAAGTGGATGGTGTTGAAACTGTTTTGCTCGCCACTGCCAGGTCTGTGCCATTTCCTCAGTGGCTGGTAGGGGAACCCAGGCCCGCCCTCTACTCCAGGTTCCAGCTCAGGGATCCTCTCTTCAGCAGCCAATGTCTGCACACAATCCTATACCTTGCGGCTTTCCCCCTGAACCTTTCCCACCTAACTAGCTATCCCCACTCTCTGGGTTTGTTAGCCACATGCCTCCCTTCTCTCAGGGATTGATTACAGACTACTTCCCTGCAATTCCCTCTGTGCTCTGCTCCTGGGCTTTATACAGCTCCAGCTGAACCTCATCTAATTAATCTCTGCTCCCTGGCTCCTCCAAGTGCAACCTGGGTAATTAATTGGCTTACCTAACCATCTTCGCCCCTGAAGGTCCTGTGCAGGGTGGACATCCTATCACAAGGCCAAACACATCTCTGGGCATATTAATACAAAAGATAATGATAATGCAACATAAATGGTCATTCTACGGAAGGAATGTGACCTGTCATTGACAAAAGTTGTCAATAAAGGTTTTCCTGTTGGTCCCACTCACCTGGTGTTGACTACATTCCACCAGGTCAGTCACACTTTTTCTAATGATGTGGGTGGTTTTGTCCCATCTATACTAACAGATAAACTGTTTTCAATATTAGTTGAGGGGAGACGGGGTCACTCTATGCTGATGATTGTCAAAAATGGGTCATTTTCCCACCACAGGCAGGGCCTAAGATTCAGTACCAGAGCCAGGATTTATTGGACTGAGGACATGATATTGAAATAGTGGCCTTGGTATCATTCCCTGTTCTCTTTGAGGTACAACCACTCCCTCAAATGAGACAGGAAAGGAGCAGCCCTAGTACCCCGCCAGAACACAGGGACTCAAATTCTATATGCCATTAGACAACAAGCAGTGAAAAGGGCAGTAGGGCAAAAGCTCCTTGTTTCCTTTCCCATCCACAGCCCTTCCCCTGCATAGCACTGTAAGGGTCAGGCAGAGTTTGTTCTCACATTTGTATGAAGTTTTACTTCAGTGTCTTCTCCTTCATATTCACAGTGAAAAGTCCGGCTTCACATTTTTTCTACTGATTTCTGACCTGGGGAGTTATAAGACAGATATGTGTAAGATAGCACTCAAGTGATTTTTTTTCTACATAACTTAACATTAGAATTATCTTCTGAAATCAGTACGTCTGGTATGATAACTGCAGACTACTACTGCTTATATTATTACTTCCTGGAAATTTTACTGTCTGATCAGTAATTTTCACAAAGCCTTCTCAAGAAGACAGATCTTTAGTGGTTCTGAGCACCCCTTGCTCCCACTGATTTCAAGAGGAGTTGCAGGTGCTTGGCCCATCAAGAATCGGGTGATAGATCTAAACTTATTTGCTAAACATTACAAAATGGCAAATAAAACCTCTACATCCTGGTTAATGGTTGAGCTTCCCCGAAATATGCAACACAGAATGAAAATCTGGAGTGTATACATGAGTATGCACCAGATTTCGCATACCTTCTACGTACTGAATAGCCTTCATTCCAATGTGAGCATGTAATAGGGCAAAAGGTCATCCTCCTGACCTAAGGGATGCAGCTCAGCTGTGAGTTATGGTAACTGTCTGTCTGTGTTTCATCCATACTTAAAAATATAGGGTGACATCCTAGCCCCATTGAAATCAATGGTAAAACTCTCATAGACTTAAGTCATTCAAAAACCGTGAGACAGGCTTAAAATCGTGAGATTTTAAAAAATATATTTGTGATTCTTATTTGCTCTTTGAGCCTTTAGGATACAGTCAGGTCACATTTTCAAGATTTTCTTTATAAACCTGAGAGCTAGAAACATACTTCTTTTTTTTTAATGAAAACTGAGATTCCAGGAATGGAGCGGGGGGAAACCACTGCATTTTGCAAGGCTTCTGATAAAATTGCAGGAACTGGCAACTCTGTGAAATTTTTGCTTTTGCCTAAAAGCGGATGGCCTTTTGCAGCTTGCCTCACAGTAGACACAAAGGGTCAAAATTCTGGCCTGGCATGGGGGTTGCAAGGGCTGCAGGTCAGTACAGACCCTGGCATGCAGATGTGTGATAAATGTACAACTTTTAGTACATGGGGAAAACTTATGCCCTGACTTACATCATGGTCTACTCCACTAAAATAGAGGTAGAACTTGACCCAGTACATTATCTATGAATAGCTATTGTAGAGTATCCATGTCAATGGAAGGTGTCCCTAAACTCTGACTGCCAGAAGCTGGGACTGGATGAAAGGAGATGTATCACTCGATAAATTGCCCTGTTCTGTTCAATCCTTCTGAAGTCTCTGGCACTGGCCACTGTCAGAAGACAAGATACTGGGCAAGATGAACCATTGGTCTGACCCAGTATGGCCATTCTTATGCTCTTACTTTCCATTCCTTATAGCAAAACTGTAAGGAAATTTAAATGGAAATAAAAGTTTAAGGGAGCATAAAAACTTCACATAAATGGCTCTTTTCTATAACCAAAGGAAAAAAATTTCTCCATATAAACTTCTCTTCAAATTAATACACAGACTGAAGAATTTACAAGGTTATAATCTTGTAATCAAAGAATTTATTGCAGAAGACAATCTAATCCCACATATAAAATAAGAATGTTATACAGAGTTAAAGAATGCAAGCTTTCTGCTGGAAAAGTGCAGCTGCATAATGGGATACAATGTTGAAATTTAATCTATAACAGGGAAGAAAAATTAGACTTTGTGTGGCTAGTGCTGATTAATAATTTTAAATTATGAGCTTTGTAAGCACCTTAAAATAGATTAGATGAATTATGATGCAACACAGGGGAGCTGAATTTAGCTTGGTCCTTAAATATTTATTTTTAAATTACAAAACAGAACTGACTGTTTAAAAGATTTTACATGCTGAGCCTGCAAGTAAAAGGCAATTAAAACTGAAATGTTTTGTAAACATATACAGACGCTGACCTCCTCTTTCTTCTCTCCTTCCTTTTCTCTCCTCTCTCTCTCCCACAGACTCCAAGCATTAGACTGTCAAATTCAACTTTGATTACAGAGGAAGTCAGCTTCATACCATAAAATCTACATACCCTTTCTCATTTGATAGTATTTTCTATATATAGCATTGCTGCTATTTTACATTTTATTTGGCACTTTTCAGATCTCCAAATAAATACAGTACTGAAATGCCACAGCCAGAGGGGTCACTGCAAAATAGAATAGGGTGGCATGCAGAAAGGGAAGTGCAACAGGATATCTAGTATCCGCATGCAGCATAAAGAACTTCTGTTTTTAAGGCTGAGTTAAAAAAAAAAAGTGAGGCAGAGAAGTAAACCGTCCTAGTCAGAAAGAGATGGAGAGAGGAGACGTCAGGGCAATGTATTAGGAGGATGGATAGGCTTGTGGTTAGGGCTCTTGACTAGGACTCAGAAGATTTGGGTCCAATGAAACATGGCTACAGACTTCCTACATGATTTTGTACAAGTTACTTATCTTCTCAGCACCTCATCTGTAAAACTGGTATAATATGTTCCTCCTTTCCAGGGACATTATGAGACCAACTCCATACACACTTGAGAAGAATTCAAATACTATGGTGATGAGTGCTGTAGTGCTGTATACTTAAATATTTTTTAAAAAGTGGGGGAGGGGGAAGAAAATGTTGGTAGGACAGTTCCTGGAACCATCCATATCAGATTATCATCATGGGAAGGCATGAGAGTTTACACAGAAACAGGGATGCTGGAACTATTTGTATAGTGGGGGGTGCTGAAAGCCACTGAACCAAACTGTGACCTCTGTAGATGATGGAAACCCCTTCAAGCCAGGGGGTGCAGCAGGAACTCCAGCACCTATGCGCACAAGATTCTAATTTGCTGAATAAGAACAATTCCTCTAGTTTTTCTGGTATCTTATATGAGCAGGAAATTATTTCCAATAGATGGCAATAATGGTACACATTCACAAATTCATCCCAAGTAGGGTTTGTGCAAACCCCTGTGCTTGATCTCATGCAAAACATTTTTTTCCAGTTTCGGAGGTGTTTTGGGGGTTTTCCAGATGGAGTTTATACCTCCTGAATGTTCGAGTCTGGGGTTTGAATGGACCAAAAGTACAACTCAGCCCAATTCACAGTTTTACCTGGTTTCAGATGTAAATTATGTAAACCAATTATTTGTGTATATGTCACCTATAGCCACAAATCAGCCACATGCACTCAAGAAATCTGTCTCACCTGGCCAAAGTTTTGAATTTGTAACGAAGCATAAAAATTACCATCCTGGGGTTTGTTCCAAAGTTTCACACAGCTCTAATTACAAGGGGCCAATACTGGGAGATAAGAAAGAGTGGCAGATCTTTATACAGATACAGATATGCACTACATGGATATATGGGAGGGGTGGCCAAACTGTAGCTCACAAGCCACATACTGTTGAAGTGTGGCTTGTGGAGCCCCCATCTCCACCTACTAGACTGCCCAGTGCAGGGTGGGGGGGGTCCAGAGCTCTGTCAGGCACCTCCTGCAGGGCTAAAGACGTGAGCCCCGGCAGGTGCGCCCCAGCTCTTGAATTTCTGAAGATTGTCATATGCAGCTCAGAGGATCAGTAACTTTGGCTACCCCGCTAGATGGTGCAGAAAGGTGTTTCTACCACCTTGGAAATCCAGGTACTAAATAAAAGAGAGAACACTGCAAAAACAGGCCTATTTGAATTAACTTTCTCCCCTCTCCTTTCCAGTTTGAGACCCTACACCTGTTCCAACACCCCAGGGGCATATGGCCCCAGAACTGACCGGTATCAGATTCTTCAGAGGAAAGTTGAAAATGCTTTCATGCGCATGAGGAGGTTCCAGAATGTCTTCCTTTACCACCCCACCCCTTGGTAGGGCTAGCGGATGAACTGAACCACAATTTTGTGCCCCTCTCTAGAACGAAGGTGCTTGGGGTGGGGGTGCCACCGAAGCACAGGCTACAGACTCCCGAGGTGCTCTCCCATCCTTCCTGAAGGGCTGGCCAGCGAGCCCATTCCCAGATGCTGCTCGGGTTAGAGTAGGGGAAAGGGTCAGACTAGGTCAGAAGAGCGGAGTTCCCCAGACTGTGCTGCCCGCTCTTCCGCCAGGCTAGGAAGAAATGGAAAGCGGGTCAGGGAGAAGCGTCTCCCTCCCCCCCCCCCGGCCTCTCCCGAGGGTTTCACTTCTCTGCCGGCCTCTCTATTGCATCATACGCAGCAGTACGAGCAGCTTCCGCGGTTCAGCCCGCAGCAGCAGCAGCAGCGCCGGGGCCCAGCCATGGTCGCTGCCCCGGGGCCCCAGCCTCAGTCGCTCTGTCCCCTGGCGCCAGGCACCTGGCCTAGGGGAGCGGCTCTGAACTCCGCACCTCCGTGCGGCAGGCGCAGCAGCTGAATCACCGTCCGTGACTCATCCCCGAGCCCGCCCCGTCTGCTCCGCGCACCGCCCGGCTCCCCGGCCCTCGGCGGGGGCAGCGCAAGGCTATAAATAGGGTCAACCCCGCCTCCTGGGCAGATTTCGCTCCGGCAGCCACCGCTACGCTACAGGTACCTGCCTCGCATCGCTCAAGCCGGATCCCTGCTCCCTTCTCCGCTGCCGAGGACGCGACGCGACACGAGGGATGGCGAGCGCTTTGGACGCCTTAGTAGCAGCCTGTGGCCGGGCGCTGCTCCTGGCCGCGCTGCTCTCCCAGCTGGACCCCTGCTCAGGTGAGTGCCGCTGCCCCGGGGCTGCGTGCCTTCGCGCCTCACCTGGTCGGGGCTGCCTGCTAGGCTGGCACCGGTCCCATGTTACTGTATGGAGATGCCTCTCTGCGGCAGTGCCCAGCGGTGGTGGGGCGCCCCACGGACCAGTCTGCCTGCCCTGTGCCGGCCCGAGGGGCTGCCCGCCGCAGAGGATAAGGGGCACACCGAGATACCTGTGGGATGTGGGAGAGGAGGCACTTAAACTTATTAATAATTATATGTGCTGGTCTGGTTACCGACCAACATTTGACTGGAATTATTTGGAGTTTCTTTTCAATATCGCCCGTTTGGACATCTCGAATTTTTGGCTATATGTTTAAAATATATATATATATATCAATTAGGTGATATTCATACAAGCAAACAAATAGATTATAAAACAATTCTAAACCAATTATTTCTATTTTATTGGCTAGTGTTGTATGTTTTTCACATACTTCTAGTTCTTTAAGTTGAATTTAGACTTCATTAAATTTGTGATTGGAAATGGTTGAAAATTAAGAAATTAATACTAGAGTAAACAATAATACAATATACATGCACTTATTTTTCTTTATAGTGTTCTGTGCATAAATAAAAATCAGTAAACACGTTTACATAAACATAACTATTTGACTGATTAGACACTTATAGAATGAAAATGTGCATTTATTTTGGTATGCAATTTGCTTGTCTGTGTGTGCTTTTTAAAAGAAAAAGGCAAATAATATGGCTGAGAATTCATCTGAATAAAAATCAGGAAATTCAGTTATTGGATTCCACAGCAACTATAACTATAGACGGATTTTACCTATACTGTATATGGTAAATATGAATGTCAAATATTATGCAAAATCTCACATTTCCTTCAAGTCTTTGCAAACTCTTTATAAAATGCTTGTGTTGGCTTAAAAGCAGAAGGAAACACTAGAAGTAAGCACAATTCTGAACTGTTCCTAGATGTATCAAATGGTCTTTCTGCACATTTGATTTGGTGGCCAGGGAAACAACTAGGCTGAATTACAAAAGATTCCGATCATGGAGGGGAAAAAGAGGAACTTTCTTCCCACGTTCAGCATTAAAGGAATTTCCCATGGCAGAAGTAAAATGAGTATGATTTCTGTGAATTATTTCTCACAAACAGAATTTTACTATAATCAGATACTTACTTATAGAAATCTCACTTGTGCTAAATAGGGAATGTAATAAATTTAGAGCTCTACACAGTGTGACTCATCACAACTTTCTTTCTTTTTTTTTTTTGTCTCTAAAGGTAATTCAGAACTGTCCACAGCAGTTAATATAACTTGGTCATCAATCAATTTCAAAACAATACTACAGTGGCAACCAGTGCCAACCAACTATGTCTATACAGTAAAAATATCTGGGTAAGTAGATATAATTGTAAGCACAAGTGCCTGGTGTACCCCTGCCCCTTCTCTCCATGCTCACTAGAGTGTAGTGAATGTCAATTTTAAAAAGACATTTGTGACTGAGGCAGAAAGAAGTGTAGTCATGGTAGAATATTTGAAATATCTTAAATCTATGAATGTAATGCAGAGTCCAAACATGAGAACTTTTAGGAAAGTTATCTCTATTTTGAGTTTTGGTTGCTTCCAAGTGCAGGTGTATCTGATTCCGGGCTTTGATTCTGCTCGTTCTAGAAATAAAACGTACAGATCTAGATCTTGATGCTGCAGTTTCTGTACAGGCCACCTGGTACTGAAAAATTTGGCCCAAAATATTTTGCACCAGTTTACACCCCTTCACGAAGACTGTGTAGAATTTGATCTTCTACATTTTAAAAAACACCATAGTTTTCATCTGTAAAACAATTCCCTCTTTTTAATGTTGAGAGAGAGAATTTGCAGAGATATGACTAATTTTATTCTAATTTAATGATTAATGCATTAGTTAAGTGGATCAGTATTACTTAATCTCGCTGGGTAACCTTAAAAAAATGACCTCTCCATCTAACTTCCTAGACTTACTCCAATTCATGGCTTATAACATTAATGTTAGACTTTTTCAAAACACTGGGCTAATAAAATCCAAGCACATATTAAGTGCTTAATTTTATTTTTTATTACAAAACTGACAAATATGAAATGCTCACTGTGCACACAGTCTATGAATTAACATGAAAACAATGACTGAACATGCCTCAAAGAGAAACTGCATTATTAACCGTCTGCACATTTTTTGGAAAGCATTGTACTTCAATAGTTTCTGGCATGTTCCAGTGTCTACAACTGGAGGCTAAATTTCATGAGCAATGGGTGAAATACCCAATAACGCTTGTGGATTTTTTTCTCTGTGCACATGGGGTGGGGTTAAACGTACTTTGCCATGTTCCTGATGCAGCCTTTATAAAATTAACATAAAAACAAATGTTTAAGCAGAATGGCATAATGAAGTGTGGTTTTCAACCTGTGTTCCACAGAACCCTGGGGGTCTGCAGACTGTCTTAAGATTTCTAAAGGGGTTCAGACCTCCATTTGAAATTTTTTAGGGGTCCACAAATAGAAAAAGGTTGAAAACTACGGGTATAATGTAACCTAAGGGCCCAAGCCTACAGACACAAATGGACATAGCCCCAATCCTGCACTGTGATCCAAGCACGTTTACTGCTGTACTCACACTGAGCCCCATCTATTTCAGTGGTACACCGTATGAGTACAGCAGTCTGCTCACCTGACTTGCAGTGTAAGATCCAGACAGTATGGAGTTAGGCATTAAGCGGTTTAAAAAATCCTGCTAGATACTATTTTCATCTTTAGGTGCCTAAAGCTAGTCCTTTTAGTTTTATTTGGCTCTTTTGTAGGGCTAAATTCTCTTTGTATGTAATCTAACTGAATTGAATCTGATTGTTTGTGCAAGTAAAGCAAACAGGATTTGGTCCTAATTCAAGAATGTGTCTCAGAGATTTTCTTGCATGTAGATTCACAGGCAGAAGTGTCTTTAACACAATTAGTTTCAATTAATGATTCACAAGAAAGCTAAAAATAGTATTTTAGCTGATTTAGACTTCTAAAAGGATGGAATCTTTGCGAGAACTACTAAACAATGTAAATTTAAGTAACCTTTGTTACTTGCAAGGAATATATGTCAGATGGGTGTGGCCTATATAGTTGTTAATTTTTAAACTGAAGACCGCTGTACAAGGAGATTTGTTAGTAAGTATTGTAGATCTCCACAGCTGTGCTAATATGGACATAACTATTCTTAGCACAAGCACTGTTTTTGTTTGTTTTGTTTTTCAAATCTTGGAGCCTTAATTTTTACAAATTATATACATAAATTAAGGGTCCAAAGATTTCAAAAACAGTGCTTGTGCTAAGAATAATTGTAGGGCATTGTGTCTCAAATAGGATTTAGTTTATGGGCATTTTTAAAAGGTTACTGTGCACAGGAGAGGTGGGATTTTTCATGGGCAGAGGAAAAAGATAAAGATAACGTAACTTTAAAAGTTTGTGTCCTTTTTTGCTTCCTTATTGTGGCTTTTAAAAAATCTGCAAGATGGGTTATTGGTTTTTTTTTCCTGTTTATGAAGATCAGGTATTATCATCCCAGTCTCTTCTAGAGGACTCTGTAAACCACTTTGAAACTAATAGAATTATGACATCACAAGAAACTGAAATCTGAGTAAACTCCTATTTAATTAAAAATTCTGACAAACACATGGAGGAAAACCCCTTTGTTAACATACACTCAACACTCCTGCCATTTCAACTGAACTATATGAAAGCCCTCGCACTTGTCCTTTGATTCTCCAGCAAAAACAGAGGAGGCCAGATTTGATATTTCTGATTTTAAACATTAAAAAAACAAACAACATACAAGCTTAATTTTTTTGCTTCCTTTTTATATCATTATGAAGCAAAAAGGGACAAAGACACTTTTTCCCCCTGTTTGCAAATAATCTTTAAAAAATCTGCTTGTTTTAATTTATGAAAAATATAGAAACTGCACCCCTCTTTGCCATTTAGACACCCAGAGAAGTTTGTCATTTTTTTGCAGTCAGTTGATTAATGTATCTGAACTGAAGTTTTTATTCCTGTATGACTAGTACTGATTATGTTACATGGTTTTAATTATGCCCATGCCCATACCCATATGCAGAATATCTAGTAAACGAGTGACAACATTAAGTAGATTAGTTAATTGTCTCTTTTATGAACTATGGATAGTGTCCCTATCAGATCCCACTCCTCCACATTCCTAGCAGTGCATTCAAGATAGTTAGAGGTTCTTTAGGACATATCTGGAAATGTATTATTGCTTTTGAGTAAAATTTTCAAAGGCTCTAAGTAACTTAAGAGCCTAAGTCCCATTATCTTTAGCAGGGCCGGCTCTGGCTTTTTTGCCACACCGGGCAAAAAAGCCTCCCGCCGCCCCCCGCCCGGGAGCGCAGCAGGGGAGGACGTTGAGCCCAGCCGCAGCCCCGCTCTTCCCAGCCGGCCGGAGCGCCGGGAGGAGGGCGGAGAGCCTGGCCGAGGCCCCGCTCTTCCCGGCCGGCCGGAGCGCCAGAGGGAGGGCGGTGAGCCCGGCCGCGGCGCCGCCCTCCAGGTGCCGCCCCAAGCACAAGCCGGCCCTGATCTTAGTCACTGAGGCATTTGTGAACATTTTGCCTCTTACCTCTTTCTATACAGATTTGAGGGGGGAAATGACCAGTGTCAAAATTATTCAGAGTGGCAATTTCCTGTTAAATTTACAGACATGAAAATATGTTATCAAATCAAAACATACCCTGAAGAAAACATCTTTCCTTAATTATATATTGCATATTGACAGAAGGCAGGTAGATTGGTTCATTGTGAGTTAAATTTTAGTTGCTTGGTTCAACTTTTTAAACTATGAATCAAGCATATTTTCATAGTATGGATTTTTCCACTCAACTGCATAGACTATGGTTTACAGGTACAAGCATGATGTATTCAGAAGAAATTGTAAAAATTCTGGACTTTGACGATTACTGAGAACCATTTTATCCCAGGCATTGTATACTACATGCATGAATGTATGCATGTGCATGAAACTTTGTTCAGAAAGTGTTGTATCAATATTTCATTCTTGGTTCCTTTCAGAATCAACTCAAACTGGGAAAAAGTGTGTGTCCACACAAAAGAAACAGAGTGTGATGTTACTGATAAACTGGAGAAGGTAAAAGACACCTATACGGCACACATAGTGTCTGAAATGCTTTCTGGGACAGAAAAGTTTGAGGAGCCGCCTTATGCAATCTCCCCAAAATTCACACCTTACAATCAGAGTAAGTAGGATTGCCTAGTAATAGTCTGTTATCACATCACTTTTTTTTTTATATCACCCCAATTAATTCAATGGGGCTTGGATTGAGCCTAGTTTTTCTGTTTAGGTTCTTGCTCTTGTGATGCTTGACCACCTTTTAGCTGTAACTGAAGTCTTTCCCACTGCAGGGGACTTCATAAGACCTCATGCACCACTTTATCTCTTAACACAGGATTTAAGTGGTGCCTAGAGCTTTGTGTGAGCCCCATGCACTATGTTGAAATTTTATTAATATGCATTGACTGTGCCAGTCACTGTGTTACATAGGCACTGTGTTTAAACCTGGTAAAGTAGAGAGATTGTGTGGGGAGTGTATTGTTGTGGTTTTTTTTTTTTTTGAGGTGGTGGTAGAGAATGTTTCAGAGTAACAGCCGTGTTAGTCTGTATCCGCAAAAAGAAGAACAGGAGTACTTGTGGCACCTTAGAGACAAACAGGAATC